AAACAAAACAACAGAGAATTAGCTGCTCAGAAACAGCAGCTGGGCCTTAAACCCATGCTCCAGAATGGGAGGACAGTATCACAGGCAGCTGCCTATCTCGCTGCTCCACAACACCAACCCCTGTAAAAATTCTTTATGTAACAGCTGTCATAGGCACCGACATCTGTCTGTTCAGCCTCATCTCAGCTCCTGTCCCACAGAGCTGTCATCTTTCAGGATCAGCACGACAAGGCCTTCTTCCCCCAGAAGTCTCTTCACCAACTCCATGCCGCACCTCCACCCTTCTCTCATGGGCTGATTGGATCTTTCCATCTCTTTTTTCACCACATTTCCATTAAAGTGCTTACCATATCATTTTTATTTGTAGTTGTACACACTTTTCCCTCTTTTCATGCCAGGGATTGGTTCCAGGACCCACTGTAGATGCCAAAATCTGAGGATACTCACGTCCCTTACACGTGTATGCATGGACTTTAAAACTTTTGTATCAAAATGAACTTGCCTTTCAATTCCATTGTCCATGAACTTTTTGAAGTATCTTTGTGTACAAAATGGCTTTGTATTTGTATAGAATCTGCATTCTCACATACATTTTAAATCACTTCTACATTATTTATGTTGCCTAAAACAATCTAAGTGCTGTGTAAATGGTATGCTGTATTATCTAGGGAATAACAGGAAGAAAAAAGTTTATATGTTCAGCCCAAATGAATTGTGTGGGGATTTTTTTTTAGATTATTGTTAAATTAGTTATTTGAGAGAGAAAGAGTGTAAGCTCCTATTTACTGGTTTACTTCCCAAATGCACACAATTGCGAGGCCAAAGATGTGCCAAGACAAAGATAGGAGCCAAGAACTCAATTCAGATCTCCTTGAGCCATCACCTGCTGCCTCTCAGGGTGTGCATCAACAGGAAGCTGGAATTGGAAGGGGAGCCAGGACTCAAATCCTCATCCTCCAATGTGGGATGCTGGCAGCCCAACTGGGATTCTAACAGCTAGATCAAATTGCTAATCCCCTTTTCTGGTATTTTTCATCTGTGGAAAGACCCCCAGATATTGAAGGCTGACTTCTTTTATAAGATCTTGTATGCAAAAGTACTTCAAATAATTCATTAAAAATTAAATTAAAATTAATTTAAGATACCTTTGTTTTGGTACATTGAGTGTTTTTTAAAACTTCATGGAAAATGCTATTATGAAAAGAATACATGGATTGCTAAATGTTTGCACCAAGATAAATTTTAAGATTCCATTTTCCCATATTTGAATAATATATAAAGATGAGTATCTGTTTCAGTGCATTTATATTGAAGTGTATATATATTCATATACTGAAATTTATATCATATGTATATATAATATGTGTGCATATGTATATATAGGTAGTAGAGTTCCTTGAGTTTTTGAGGGAAGACTTGATATTTTCTTGTCCTCAGTATTCTCAGTTGTTAGAACAGTGCCTAGCAGTATGAGATTTAAATAAATGCATCACTAATGAATGTACCCATTAATTAAGTTTTAATACCTAGTGAGCAAAATTTCTCTTTCAATTTAGTAATTGTTGAATCACTAAGCTTACAACCTAGTAGACTTGTTTCATTTTAAAATCTATAACAAAAGGAATGAGAAAGGGAAACAAGGACAAGTTATTCCAGATCTGTAACAGATCTATTTTTGTCCTCTGAAACAAAGTCCAAATTTTTCTGGTTATATTTCAGAAATGGAAACTTTTTTTCTTTTAATTTTTTTACTCAACTTGCAGTTTTTATGTTTCCCAAAGTCATAAGAAATAAGTTCTCTCCACATAAAGCTGTTTATTCTCTCTTATGTCCTCTTTTTCATGTGTCCTTAGAGAAATTGAAGTTCATGAGAAAACTTTTCTATCTCTATAGGATACATGACTTAACTCCTCATCTCATCTTCTGCAGCAATACCCACTATTGCTAATTCATCTCTACTATTTCCCTGGACTATTTGTTTCAGCAGATGGGTCCCTTACTGAACATTTCTTACAATGATGGAATGAGATGGCCCCTGTTTAATTATGTGGTGAAGAATTTTGTTCAAAATTATAAACACTTTTCAAGAGGCTGTTGGAAATTTTGGATGTGATACGTTCTTCCCTTTTCAGTACACATTGTCTTCTAAAGATACAGAAGAATAAGTGTGCAGCATATTATATTAAAACATTTACAGTTTGTTAATGTGTTCAAAATCAGCCTCATTGGAATGTTGTGTTCATGCTTCAAAGATAAATATGTCTTATTTAATAAAAATGTTCTACAGCTTCTTCCTCACATGCCATTGATCTCAGATGCATACTGTAATTTTCCCAAATGCTATTCTAAAACAGGTATGTTGTGTTCACACCTTTCTTCTGGCACCGTCAGCCATAGGTCTGCCTGCGTGGGTAGCCTGCTGATATCTCCTTGTTTTCCCAGACTTTCCTGAAGGCAACTCACCCATGCCCGACTTTCCAGCAGTCCATTGATCTTCTAAGGGCACACTAGATCAGGAAATCAGTTGGAGTTGGAAATCATTGCTCTTTATTTGTGTTTTTATTGCAATAAAATATGCATAATATAGTATTTATTATCTTAATCATTTTACACATACATAGCTTGATGGTGTTAAATACATTCACATTGCCATTCAACCAACACTGCCATCTACCTCCAGAACTTTCTTCATCCTCAAAACTGAAACTCTGCATCCACTAAACACTAAGTCATCATTCTCTCTTTTTCTACGAAATTGACCTTCATGCCTGGTAAACCACCCTTCTGGGAATTCCTCCTAAGATCCTGTGAAATGATCGGTTTGGTTTGTCTCTAGGGCACTCTCTGAGTGCTGAGTTGCTAGGGAAAATGCACAGGCAACTTAAGAGAAAGGATTACTTATGAACTAAGTAGTCAACAGAAAGTAGGAGTTGGTCAGTGGCCCGGGGCCTGAAGGAAGCTCCAATTTGCTCACCCAACAAGACCAAAGGGGTGGTTGAGAAAACACAGACACAGGGTCAGGGAGGAGGTTCTTAGATGGTTAGCATTTATTATAAGGATATGGGAGTAGGGAGTTAAACATAAGAGATCATCTTGGAGAGTTCAGAGAAAACTAGAAGCCTATTCAAAATACAGCACGTGTCTGATGATATGATATTCTCATTCCTGTATGATCAGAGAAGTCTTCCATGCAACCCATGCTAAAGTGTTTGAGCTCTGTTTCAACATCCAGCAGTTACCTGATACCTTGTGGGCATTCTCTGTGTGCACTGCATGTCCAGCCTCCACAAGAAGGGGATCAGAAGGTGCCCTTGAAGCAGATGGCATCCTTGTCCTTGTTGGGCAGCTTGTCTGAGCATCTTGCTTCATTTCTCAAAACTGATGATGGGGTCCAGGGGCTCTCACTGTGGGGGCTGGAGGATCAGCAGCTACTAATGCTTTGGAAAGGAGCCATCCTTCCTTCCCTGCAGAGATTCTTCAAAGGACAGTGGGAGAATGTGGGTGGGGAGGTTGGCTAGGACCAGATCCTTTAGGAAACCTGCATTTGTTTTTTAGCTACTGACATATGATTACTTGTGTGGAAAGATCATATTGGTAACAGTGCACAAACTGCATGGAGCAGTTAAGAGAATGCTGTTGGGTTATGAAAACTGTTGCAACAGTAATTGAAGCCAGGAAATAATTTTTACTCACAAAAGGTAATTGAAGAGAAAAAGGATCTCAGACTGTGCCTCTTGGGACTTTGACACTTAAGAGGTGTGAGGAAAGTGATAAGGACTTGGACCTTTCTTGCTACAACTTTATTTTATGCATAGAGCTAACCAAATCATAGCATTGGAACTTAACATGGGAATCTAGAGCTCTATGTGTAGTTACTCTAAAGGCAAATACATGAAGGAAGAAAATTCCCACTTCTTCTCATATTGTGTTAAAAGCTACTATTGTGTCTTTTGTAAGACATCTGGAGTGGTGATTGAATGGATTAATAGTGTAAGGGTTTGTCCATTTTATTAAGGTTAGTAAATGAGTTGACCATTACAATGTTAAAGGAAAAATCAGTGTAGTCCTTATCCATGATGATGAATTCTGGGTCCTGCTCTCGATCTCTTTGGTCATGTTTATGATTCAGGAAAAGGAGAGACCTGTCTAATGGCAGATATTTTGTTAAATGCACTACCCATTTGTCAAGTATGTGTTAAGTATGCTGGTCAGCATTTCCTCTTGTGTGTTTACAGAATAATCACCCTCTCTTTCTATAGGAAATCCAGCTGCACCAGCATGTACTGTTTTTAGTAGCCCTTCCTGAAGAATTGTGGGCCAACTGTGAGGGTCTTACCACAAAAATGTCCTCCCCCCGCCCCACTGAACACCTCTACTTTCTCCAATCCCTTACTGTGTCATTAAACTTTTTCTTTCTGTTGTCTTCACTCAGCTCCTATATATTCTCTTTGCCCCTTCTACATTCGACCTGCCCCTTGATTCCCCCTCCCAAACACTAGCTGCAGTTTTTCAGCCCTTTACCATGCAGAAGAATTTAGTTACCATTTTTAATTTCCTAAGCAAGCCCTTTGGAAAGTGCTGTCAGTCCCCAAGGGACTTACTAATGAACCATCCTGGCAAAGGCCTGTCTTCCCTGCATCTTTGAATCAGCTATGCCAAAATATCCTTGAACATCTTTATGATGCCAGTAGTATACCGACCTTGTAGCATATGGACATTGACAAAATACACAAAAAAGGGAGAAACAAAGTACAGGAAACCAAAAGATGCAATACAGATCTCAGATACTTTTATCTTGCAGGGGTCATAAACATTCATTAACCTACTATTGCACATATTATATACAGGGTTTGGTTGTTTTTTGTTTAGTTTTTGTTTTTGTTTGCTGCATCATGAAATTCAGAAACAGTATTTTCTCCAATTTGGCCAAAACCAGTCTCAAATGAGTAGGAGTGATCTGGGGTCTTGCTTCAAACATTGCATTCCTACCCAATTTACAGAGGCAGCATATACTCTCCTGTTGTATGATGAGCTACTGGAGTGGTCTGATCGGCCCCTCAGAGAGTTCCTAACCTACCCCATGCAAACGGAATGGCAACGCAAGGAGCACCTGCACCTCACCATCATCCAGAACTTCGACAGAGGCAAAGTAAGTTGCCCTGCCAACCCTGAGATCTCTCCTAGACTGACTATGTTGTGTCCCTTTCTTTTCTAGTGTATTGCCACCCACCTCCTCCAGCAGGGGTCCTCATAGTTTGATATGCGTAAGATACATACAAGAGCCTGTTCAAATGCTGATTCCCAAGCCCAGCCCAGACAAGCTGATAAAGAAGGTGTGTCTGGTGAACCTGCAGTCTGAAGGACTCCAGGATGTTCCCGTGTGCAAGAACTGTACATTGCACTTTAGGAAACTTTGCACGAGAGGTTTTGACTCTCCAAGTCTCAGTCATTGTGTACTGCTCTAACAAGTGCCATATACTAGTGGGGAATAAGCGATGGAAATTGGTTTCTCACAGTTATGGAGACTGAGACGTCCAACATCAAGGCTCTGGAAGATTCAGTGATGCCTTCTTGCTCTTCAGTGATGGGACGTGGCTCTCTGGGGCTTCTTCTGTAAGACCACTGATCCCATTCGTAGGGCTCTACCTTCATCACCTCCCAAAGAGCCCTGCCTCTTGACAGTCACCCTGGAGGTTAGAATTTCAATCTGTGAATTTTGGAAGGACATAAACAGACCACAGTGCCTAGGTATTATTCTCTGAATCCTCACCCCTTCCTGAAGTTAGTATGCATTCTGCCTCATTCCACTTACTTTTTTTTAAAGATAAAATAAATGAAACTGGATTTTCTCCCAGGTTTTTCTGGGATCCTTTCATATATTTGGAGATGCCTTGGCGTGTTGAGCAAACCTCACTGTCCTAACAACATGATTCTGTGTATACCACTTCACTTTTTCAAGCCCTCTTTCTTCAAGGACTTGCAATACTCTTAAAAAAAATTAAAAAAAATAAAAATAAAAAACCTGTGAATCTGATCACCACTATTTATTTTATTTGAATACTTTGGTTGCTTGGTGGTAAGTGTCTGAGATTTAAATATATCTTCCAAATCGCGAAAGTTAAACAGAAAATTAAAATACTACTGGTGGCTGTCATTCTTTTACAAAACATAATTGGGTACCCCTAAAAATTTGATGCAAGGAAATTGCTTTCCATATCCTGCTTTATTATTTATCTAACTACACTGACATATTATTATGTTAATAGCAAAAAAAATGTCTTTTTGTATCCTCCTGCTATAAAATTTCTACCTGCAGACATAGCTGTTACCAAATCTCAGTCTTCATAGAATGGAGTCAGTGCTTGATCAGGGGTTACAGTCTATTGGCCTACAGGTCAAATGGCTCACTGCCTGTGTCTGTACAGCCCACAGCGACCAATCACTTACACATTTTTTAATAGTTGAAAGAACTCAAAAGAGTAATAGTTTGTGGCTTGTGAAAATTCCATGAAATTCACATTTGTGTCCATAGATAAATTCTTCTTGCAATGCAGCTGTGTTCTTTCACGTCTACAGGTGCTTTCATGTTATAGCAGTGGAATTGAGAGCTTGTGACAAAGACTGGATGACTCTCAAATCCTAAAATATTGACTGGCTGGCTCTTTGCAGCAAAAGTCTGCTGGGCCTATGCTAGATGAAAGAATTTTTTTTTTTTTCATTTCTGCCAGAAATAACCAACTGAGTTAGACCCCTCAGAATTTGCAATTGCAACTTATCTGAGTTGCAGGGTGCCAGTCTCAGATAATTGGACCTTATGGGTCAGTGCAGTTCCCTCATCAGCACTGAGAACCCGTTTATAATCCATCTGTTTCGCCCAGGTGGAACAGTACTTATGTCGAGATAATGATCGTGAAACAACAGCAGAAAGTATTGCTTATGCACATATGTTAATGATTACTGTGGTGGATTATCATTTCCAACTTCCTGGAGATGTCTAATAGTCTACATGTTCATTATGTGGTGTTTTCCTGCTTAAAATCATGGTGGTGCTATTACATGTTTCAAAGATTAAAGAGCAAAGCTGCTTGATCTATAAGCAGTTGTGTCCTTGCCTTTGGGCAAAAGTAAGTCAGTGTTGTGGGGTAGTTATATTGATGTCATTCATTTGTCCACAGTGTTGGGAGAATGGCATTATCTTGTGCCGGAAGATTGCAGAGCAGTATGAGAATTATTATGACTACAGGAACCTGAGCAAGATGAGGGTAAGGTGCCTAGATATATACTGATCTGGATGTGGCATCCCTTTTTGATTTGCTTTCCAGTCTGGTTCTATGAAAACTTTGTGATCATCTTGATAGGCCTCACAGAAACGTATTCCAATAAGTATTTCCTTTAAGGCATACTCAGCTATTTATGCAAAGAAATACCAAAGTGATCTGTGTAACATTTTTGATTAATGGACAAAAAATGAGCCATTGATCTGTTTCCAAAATACCACATCTGAAACACACAATGTAATCCAAGATTAAGTTTTAGTTTATTGTGCAAAATCTCTACACTGTTTGAAGAGCTTCCCACTTATACTTAAATCCCTGTGACAAATACCATTCTTGGTATCATAATCAGCAAAGGTGAATTGTAGAAATGATCAGATGACCCATTTGTAAATAATTTAAGGCCAGGTTGTTTAGGCATCAACTCTCTTTAGTATGAGAAATACATTTTTATTTGTGAAATCTAACCCAAGATCTTAACACCCCAGAGTTCAAGAACTTCAATTATCTGTATCCCTCAGCCAAATACCTTCTATCTTCTTTGCTTTGAGGTTCAAACCAGTCCTTATCCTCCAAGTCCTTAGTCTGAGTATTCAGTGTCATCTTGTAATATACCAGGTCCTGATGAGTGTTTAAGCTCTTGAGGGTTTCTAAAATAAGGTCATCATGTTTTATACATTAAAAAAAAGGTTATGACATTTCCTTTTAATTTTAAGGTAGCCATTTAAAAGATGACCCATAAACCTTTAACAGCTCATAAAATCTTTTACACTTGCAAGTAACTTACTCAGCTAGCAGGGCCTGGCTCTGTACTTTAGCACCATATTTCATGTCAGCACTGCATCCATATTTCTCCTAACGTGGAAACCAAAGAGAGGAACCTTGTTTTAACTTCAGTCCATCCTGCTGAGGCTGGCAGGTGCTGCCGGTTTATGTGAAAACGTGGCCGTTCTCTTGATGTCCTGTCCTAGTAATAGAAATGAGGTTACAATGTTTACCCGTGAGAGCCCTTGGGTATCATAGTCGCTAAGATTTTTATAAACCCAAAGCATTACACTCTGTGCCAATTGCTCTTTAGGGCACTGTTACAGGGAGGGGGATGAGGGCGGAAGCTCCAAGTGCAATATCAGTCCTTCCCTGGAAACCCTGGGGACGATGGAACTATGAATGGGAAGTCATAAGCTTTATAGGCTTCATCGTATCAACATTGTCAAAGACACACTTAAGAACTTTAGGCCCAGACAGCATTTTGCACGATGGGCCTCCTTTGGTTTGGTTTCTTGGCCTACCCCTGTGTAATATGGGCAGGGTTGCGCCTTCCATATATCCTGAATTGCCAGGTGCTGGAAGCAAGTCCACAGGTAAGTATGTCTGGCCTACGAATTCTCTAGAAAGGCTTTGCTTCTGACAGTTTAGGTTAATTTCTATCCAACTGTGAAGAAGACATTTCCTCTGTGTGCATAGAAATGTCTTTTTGTAGTGATAACATGCAGTAATGCATTGATCTTTTAAAGCAGAAATAGCAAACAGGAGCCTGTGGGTCTAACAGAGTTAGGTATTTGTGACAGGGACAATAAGGATGCCAACCTGGAAATACTTCCTCTCTGGACATTAAGACTAAATTTGCAGAGCCCTGCCTTAAACCCTTCAAAAAGGAGTCAAGTCTTCCTTTCTGCCAACTGAATTAAAATGAAATTTTCCTTGCTGGAGAAGAAATAGTCCTGTTCTGCAAGTTGGTAGAGCTGAAAAATTAGATAAAATGTTGAGATGAGAACATCTCCTCTGCATTCCCAGATGATGGAGGCCTCTTTGTATGATAAAATTATGGACCAGCAGCGCCTGGAACCGGAGTTCTTCAGAGTCGGATTTTATGGGAAAAAATTTCCTTTTTTCTTGAGAGTAAGTAATATATTATTTAATTTGCATTCATGTTTCCAATACAGATCTCCAATCAATAAAACTGAGATATTGGTGCATCTGATAAGGCAGGTTTTGTGTTTTTTTTTTTTATCACTTGAGACAATTTCTACAATAAATCTCTGCAAAATATATACTTTTTTGCAGTTTCTTTTTTTGAACTTTTTTTAATAAATATAAATTTCCAAAGTACAGCTTATGGATTTCAGTGGCTTTTTCCCCCCATAACTTCCCTGCCACCCACAACCCTTCCATTTCCCACTCCCTCTCCCATTCCATTCACATCAAGATTCATTTTCAATTATCTTTATATACACAAGATCAATCTAGTACATATTAAGTAAAGATTTCAACAGTTTGCACCCACACAGAAACACAAAGTGTAAAGTACTGAGTACTAGTTATAGCATTAATTTACATTGTACAACACATTAAGGACAGAGATTCTATATGGGGAGTAAGTGCACAGTGACTCCTTTTGTTGACTTAACAATTGACACTCTATGGTGTCAGTAATCACCCAAAGCTCTTGTCATGAGTTTCCAAGGCTATGGAAGCATTTTGAGTTCGCCATCTCCAATCTTATTTAAACGAGGTCATAGTCAAAGTGGAAGTTCTCTCCTCCCTTCAGAAAAAGATACCTCCTTTGATGGCCCGTTCTTTCCACTGGGATCTCACTCACAAAGATCTTTCATTTAGGTGTTGTGTTTTGTTTTGCCAGAGTGTCTTGGCTTTCCATGCCTAAAATACTCTCATGAGCTCTTCAGCCAGATCCAAATGCCTTAATGGCTGATTCTGAGGCCAGAGTGCTGTTTAGGACATCTGCCATTCTATGAAAGACAAGTTTTTTTTAACTTTCTAGTTGGCAAACACTATATTAATCGAGAATGCTTAATTTTGTATAGTTTCCCAAGATTTCAAACGGTGTTCTTTTTTAAGTTGACTGTATTTCCTGAACAATTTGGTGTAATTATAGCTTCCCTGGTGAATTATTCACTATCCTATCTAGTCTGCAATTTCCATGGAATTAGCATTAGAGAAATATGGGGCAATACAGAGGTTAGGAGCTGTAGACTGTAGAAAATAATGTCATTTCACATCATACAAAAACCTACCTGTAGAATCATGTGAAGGGTGTTATTTGGCCTTCTAGATGACTTTGTGAAAAGATAACTGTCACCCATCAAAAAAGATTAATTTGTTGCTGGTGTAAACTATTTCTGCAAAAGGAAGTTTTCTAGATAATCTAAGGTATGTACTAGATAATAAAATATTCAATTCTGTTCTTTCCATTTTTCACATTCTACCAAGTATAGTACGTGTTGGTGTGTTTATTGTTTATTGGTCACTTCAGTATATGATATCTTCCTTATAGGAAAACATTAATAGAAAGAGGAAATTCATTTTTTTTTCAAAAAGATGAGGAAAAATGTAAGGAATGGTTTATTAAACATTAAACAATGGATTACAATTTTAAATATCAGTGTACAAATATTTTGGCATTTTTGTTTACTTAAATCTTGCTTTAACTGTTAGCACATATGAATAGATATAGGATGGGTACTTGAAAGAGAAGAGAGAAGAGAAACTTTTTTTTATTCAGAAGCCTTTTATTTAAGGTATACAAACTTCATGCATTTCATAAATACAACTTTAAAAACATAGTTATTCTTCTCACCCTACCCACCATCCAACCCACACTCCCACCCTTCTTCTTCCGTCTCCTATTCCCATTCTTATTTTTTATTAAGATTTATTTTCAATTAACTTTATATGCATATGATTAACCCTATATTAAGTAAAAATTTCAATAAATAGTATGAAAAAAAAAACTGTTCCTCAACAGTCGAGACAAGGGCTGTTCAAAGACATCACATCCCGAAGTGTCTACTTCATTTCTATAAATTACCTTTTAGGTGTTCTAGGGTTACCACAGATCAGAGAGAACATATGGTACTTTTCCTTTGGGTATTGGTTTATGTCACTAAATATGTTTTCCAGTTGTATCCATTTTGTTGCAAATTAGAGGAATTCCTTTCTATATTTTACCGCTCTGTAGTATTGCATGGTGCACATATCCCATAATTTCTTTACCAGTCTTCAGTTGACAGACATTTGGGTTAATTCCATATCTTAGCTATTGTGAATTGAGCCGTAGTAAACATGGGGGTACCGATAACTATTTCAGATGCTGATTTCATTTCCCTCGTGTAAATTCTCAGGAGTGGGATTGCTGGGTCATATGGTAGGTCTATGTTTAGATTTCTGTAGTATCTCCATACTGTCTTCCACAGTGGCTGTACCAGTTTACATTCTCACCAACAACACATTAGGATACCTTTTTCCCCACATCCTCACCAGAATTTAGTATTTGTTGGTTTTTGTATGAGACCCATTCTAACTGGGGTGAGGTGAAGTCTCATTGTGGTTTTGATTTGCGTTTCCCTGAAGGCTAGTGATCCTGAGCCTTTTTTCATGTGTCTGATGGCCATTTGAATTTCCTCTTTTGAATAAGGCCTATGTAAAGCCTTTGCCCATTTCTTTTCTTTTTTTTTTTTTTGAACTTATATTTAATAAATATAAATTTCCAAAGTACAACTTTTGGATTATAGCAGTTTTTTTCCCCCATAACCTCCCTCCTACCCGCAACCCTCCCATCTCCCGCTCCCTCTCCCATTCCATTCACATCAAGATTCATTTTCAATTCTCTTTATATACAGAAGATCAATTTAGTATATACTAAGTAAAGATTTCAACAGTTTGCACCCACACAGAAACACAAAGTATAAAATACTGTTTGAGTACTAGTTATAGCATTAATTCACATGTACAACACATTAAGAACAGAGATCCTATATGGGGAGTAAGTGCACAGTGACTTCTGTTGTTGATATAACAATTGACACTCTTATTTATGGTGTCAGTAATCACCCAAGGCTCTTGTCATGAGTTGCCAAGGCTATGGAAGCCTCTTGATATTGCCAACTCCGACCTTATTTCGACAAGGTCATAGTCAAAGTGGAAGTTCTCTCCTCCCTTCAGAGAAAGCTACCTCCTCTGTGATGGCCCTTTTTTTCTGCTGGGTCTCACTCACAGAGATTTTTCATTTAGGTTTTGTTTTTTTTTTTTTTTTTTTTTTTTTTTTTTTTTTTTTGGGCCGCCAGAGTGTCTTGGCTTTCCATGCCTGAAATACTCTCATGGGCTTTTTAGCCAGATCCAAATGCCTTAAGGGCTGGTTCTGAGGCCAGAGTGCTGTTTAGGACATCTGCCATTCTCTGAGTCTGCTGTGTGTCCCACTTCACATGTTGGATCATTCTCTCCCTTTTTAATTCTATCAGTTAGTGTTAGCAGACACTAGTCTTGTTTATGTGATCCCTTTGACTCTTAATCCTATCATTATGATCAATTATGATCTGAAATTGATCACTTTGACTAGTGAGATGGCATTGGTACATGCTACCTTGATAGGATTGAATTGGAATTCCCTTTGCCCATTTCTTAACTGGGTTTTGTTGTTGTTGTTGTTGAATTTCTTCAGCTTTTTGTATATTCTGGATATTAATCTTTTATCAGTTGCATAGTTTGCAAATATTTTCTCCCATTCCTTCGATTGTCTCTTTACTTTGCTGAATGCCTATGCCAAAATCTTCCAGGGTTTCCCCTACATTCTCCAACAATTTGATGGTATCAGGTCATAGATTTAAATCTTTGATTCATTTTGAGTGAATTTTTGTGTAAGATGTAAGGTAGCAGTCTTGCTTCATACTTATGCATTTTCCCAGTATCATTTGATGAATAGACTATTCTTGCTCTAATGATTGATTTTAGCTGCTTTCTCAAAGATAAGTTAGTTATAGATGCATAGGTTGATTTCTGGTGATTCTATACTGTTCCATTGCTCCATCCATCTGTTTTGCACCAATACCGGGCTGTTTTGATTATAACTGCCCTGTTGTATGTCTTGAAATCTAGTATTATGATGCCTCACCCTTTGTTTTTGTTATATAAGATTGCTTTAGCTGTTGGAGGTCTCCTGTGCTTCCATATAAATTTAAGCATCATGTTTTTATATCTGAGAATGTCCTTGGTGTTTTGATTGGTATTGCATTGAATCTGTAAATTGCTTTTTGTAGTATGGATATTTTGATGATATTGATTCTTCCAATCCATGAACATGAATGACTTTTCCATTTTTTTGTATCTTCTTCTATTTCTTTCTTAATATTTTGTAATTCTCTAGTAGAGATTTTTTGATGTCCTTATTTAAATTTATTCCAAGGTATTTAATTTTTTGCAGCTATTGTGAATGCTATGGATATTAGAAGGTCTTTCTCAGTCATGGCCCTGTGTATTTATATAAGAACTATTGATTTTTGTGTGTTGATTTTATATTCTGCCTCTTTAGCAAACTCTTTTTTGAGTTTCAATAGCCTCTTCATGGAGTCTTTTGGATCTCATATATATAGAATCATGTCATCTACAAAGAGGAATAATTTGAATTCTTCCTTCCCAATTTGTATGCCTTTGATTTTTATTGCCTAATGGCCTAAAATTTCTAGGTCTGTATTGAATAGCAATGTTGAGAGTGGGCATCCTTGTCTGGTTCTGGATCTTAGTGCGAATGCTTCCAACTTTTCCCCATTCAATAGTACACCAGCCATGGGTTTGTCATAAATTACTTTGATTGTATTGAGGAATGTTCCTTCTATACTAATTTGCTTGAAGTCTTCATCAGGAAAGGGTGTTTCATTTTTATCAATGCTTTCTCTGCATCTATTGAGATAATCATAAAGATTTAGTTCTTCAGTTTGTTAATATTATGTATTACATTGAATAATTTGTGAATGTTGAACCATCCCTGCATAGCAGGAATAAATCCCACTTGGTCCAGGTGAATGATCTTTCTGATACATTGTTGGATTAGATTGGCTATTATTTTTTTTGAGGATTTTTGCATCTATATTCATTAGAGAAATTGGTCT